CGAAATAGGGCTTGTACCATTAACCTTCTGTCTCAGAGGCAAGAGTGCTTACCAATTGAGGCTGACAGTGTGGATAAAATTATTATCTGAAATCCGTGTTTACCCAAAGATGACCAGAATTGACCCAGTTCCAATTTGGAAATGATCTGTGCAAACGGTTTCTGTTTTAAGCCCGTGCTGGTAATTTGGTGCGTTTAAAATTAATAGTAAACAACTCAACTGGTCCCAACCTGTTGAGTCATTATCCTACGCAATTATTTCTAAATTCATAACTGAATTCAGTGAAGGTAATTGCACGAGTAGTAAACTGTTCAGGAGGTTGCAGCAAATAAAGCGATTACCTCAATCAACAGGATGTTTCAAGGTCCATCATGGCAGTCTGAAAGTATATTTAGCAGTGTTTGTATTTCGAGACATCGTTGATCCTTTCTGAATTTGGCTTCTCATTCAGATATCTCTGCAGGGAATGCTCACGTCACCTCCCGTAGTCAGGCTCCATGCTCTGAAACACACCGCTAAAAATGTGGAGTCCTGTAGCTCAGTGTTTGGAGCACTCGCCTCGCAAGCGAGAGACCTTGGTTCGATGGGCGAAACATTGGGCAAGTTTCCTTACTCCACACGCACCTCCCTTTACCTAGCAGTAAGTAGGAACCCGGTTGTTAGTCTTTTGGTGGATCGCCTTTCCAGGGGGAAATACTTACTTCAAAAAAATAATAAATTGGTCACTCAATCCACGACTGTTTGTGGGACGCTGCTGTGCGCAATTGGCTGCCACGTTTCGCCCACAAAATACACAGTCGATCCACTTTACAGTATATTCTGTGAAGTGCTTTGAAATGTCTCGAAGTTATGATAAGGGACTTTATCAAATGCAACGATTATAATTATTAAAAGGAACCTGAAGCGATGAATGTGTCTCTTCTGCAATGTATTGTACAACTGACTCTGTTCCGGAGTGTAACCTTATCTGCCATTATTTCCGTATGCAGAAGGCACCGGGTTAAGGTTTTGAGCTACTCATTCCTTTATCATGTTAACGTGGACTTTGACATTACTGAAGCAGATGTGCCTTTGGGCTTGTGGGATTTCAGATGAGCAGCTGCTTCATGACACTTAACAAGGCAAATCGATGGGGTTTAACCAATTGGTGATGGGTTGTAGTTGGGTTCTCTTGGGGCGGAACATGGGAAGGGATAACACCTCTGCCAGGACCACAGTCACCCCTCTTTGTGGAATAGAGCGATAGGGCCACAAACATAAAGGACTTCAGTAATTTCTCAGCCCTGAGATGTATTGCTTTGCCTTTATTTGAGGGTGGAGTCGCCATCTACTGTTTTATTTCAGAACTACTCGTCCTCCTTTTCTGTCAGGTACATTTTTATGCATGTTTCTCTGGCACTGATAGAAGAGCCAATTACCACTTACCCAGCACAGTTCTGAATGTGCATTTTTAGCTGGTTAAAATCCAACCGTACCTTGGGATCCCCAGCAACCTGCGCCTAATACTCTCTGAAATTTGGTGAGCAGGGTGCGCCCCTCCAGGGAGAGAGGATGCATTCGATTCCAACAGGGAAATTTTCGTGTGTAGGTGGCGCACACATGCGGAACTCTCAGATGTGGATACTCTTAAGCATGTTGACGAGTTTTTGCTTGTGGCTGACCAAAACATATACGTTACAGGGCAGCTTATCGTGTCGTTACGTAAAATACACAGGAGCGTTCTGTCATTTGTTCCTATCAGTTGACTCCCGGATCAATAGAAGTATCAGCAGTTTCAAAATATGACTATTAAAGACATCTAATAACTAATTCCTTAAAAAAAAAATTTGATCACTTAATCCATAAATGTTTGTGAGACACTGCTTTGCGCAATTGGCTGCCACGTTTCACCCACGAAACGTCAATTCACTTTACAGTATATTCTGTGAAGCGCTTTGAGGCACCTATAAGACGTGATAAGGTGCTATATCAAATGCAAGGATCATTTGATCTTATTACGATGCACTTAAGGCTGCGATTTGGGCTTAAAACAAGGGGAAAGAGGGAAATTATTAAAGTGTGAAATGAAAATCAAGCCTGAGCTCCCCCATCTACATCATGGCCCAGATAATTAAGCAGTCGTTAATCAATGAGAAAGCAGACATGAGAGAGCAGGTGACGTTACGCGCTATTAATTACGCTTCATTTTAGATGAGAGAGGGAGGTAGACATTTAGCAGTGCACTGAGGGAATAGATTCTGAGTATTAGCACTTAATTTCAGATCACCTGTTTCTAGGGGGAGTCTGGTTGTCCTGTCAATCTGGTTCAGTTGTTAGCACTCTGGTCTCTGAATCAAAAGGTTGTGGGTTCGAGCCCCATATTGGGACTTTTAACTTGTTTTGCTGACACTCCAGTGAAGTGAGGGGGGAGTTCTGCATTGTTGGAAGTGTGGTCATTCGAATGAGAAAGGTAAACCCACAACAGCCCATTGGATGCCCCCAAAACAGGAGAACCAGATAACAATTGTCTTGAGTCGCAAAGGGGGCAATTTCAGTCCAGACACCAAGAAGTTTTGCCTTACCCAGAGGGTAATTAATGACTGGAGCGGGTTACCAGGAAGGGTGGTTTTCATAATAATAATCCTTGCATTTGATGTAGCATTTTTCACGTCTTTGAGATGTCTCAAAGCGCTTTGCAGAATATACCATAAAGTGAATTGACTGTATATTGTGTGGGCACTGTCAAATGCGCACAGTAGTGTCCCACAAACAGTCGTGGATTGAGTGACCAAATTATTATTAATTTTTTTTGAGGGATTATTACCCCCAGAAAAAATATACGAGAACGCAAGCAAATGTACCAGTACAATTTACACTTAAGCAGCACCTTTTAGGTTTGGGGGAGGTTGGGGTGGGTGAGGGGGAGAAAGAAAGGTGATCAAAGGCACAGAATTAATGCAAGTTTAATGGTGGGGAGTGAGTTAGGGAGGGAGGGGAGGTGATGAAGGGGCTCCTCTATTAGATCACCATTGGATTGTTTGATGTGATCCTGTACAGGCTAAACCTCTGCAGGTAACACTTTTTTCAGGTAACACACTTCAGGGACTTGTTTCCTGGGATCCTGAATCGATCCTGTCTTCAGCTCCTGCCAGAACCGTTGTATCTGAAAAGCTGTGAACGACCTGATGATTTATCACAGCCCACAGCGAAGGTTTCACACGATCGAAGACAAAATGAAAGGGGAATTACAGGAGACAGAGGAAAGGGGCAGCTGAGCCTTGAATCTTTATTCTAGCTCAATACTTCCCCAAAAGATAAAATGGTACATGGTACTACTGGTGACATCGAGGATCAAGTCCCATGTCTCACCAGACCGGGGTAATAATCCTGTCAAAATAAAATAATCAAATAATTTGGTCTCTCTATCCAATTGTTTGTGGGACACAGCTGTGAGCAATTGGCTGCAGTGTTTCGCCTACAAAGTACACAGTCAATTCGTTTTACAGCGTATTACGTGAAGCCCTTTGAGACGACTCGAAGATATGATGAGGCGCTATGTCAAATGCGAGGAGTATTATTACTCATTGCTGCTAGACTCTTTACCCAGAGGGTAATTAACCACTGGGACAGGTTTCCAGGAAGGGTGGCTGTGAAAATATAGACGACAAAGCAAGCGGTCACTACACTGTACATCGAAACCTACTGAAGCACTTTGAGACATCCCAGCAATGTATTAAGATGCAATATCAAATGTAGGGATTATTATTGTTATTCCGATATCTTGTGATTGATGCTGTTAATCTTTCCTTGACTTTGAGGTCCACCATCCTGCGGTTTAAGCGTGAAATAGCCCAAAGCCACCGAGTGAGACGGATGGACACGGTGACAGCCCAGCTCTGTGAACTGAACGGGCAACTTTCTAGACGGGAGCATCCGAGCAACTCTTACCTTTGTCTTGGGTTAAAACGTATCAGATGAGTTATTTTGTTCCCAGTCTCTTGCCTCCTCCTTTGCTCCTGCAGTTTCTCCTCTGTGTGTGTCTTTGCAGTGCAGAGTTGGCAGCAGGCAGAGTGACAGATGGTACCCTACCACCAAGAGAGACATCTCAGCAGTTCATGAGACAACACGGAATCACAGCAGACACTTTTGAGCGGCTGAATGGTCCGTTAGCGTCGGTGAAACCCTGGCTCCCGGTGCTACAACCTTTTCCCACCCGGAGTCGCTTGTCAAAGCACAGAAGTTTTCAGCTCTGGGGAGCATCGCAGCAGCAAGCTGCCGAAGATATCTCTTCATACTTCAGCGCCCAGTTATTTAGCTCGGATTTATTGAAGCTATTAAATTAGCTTCCCCTCCACTCCCTCTTTCTCTCCCCCTCATGATATAGTGGTCAGAGGAACCCCTTGTCACAGAACCAGACAAGGCTGCTGTTTGATGGCTTTGGAGGAGCAATAACCAGTAGTCATGTAACCCCAAAATGACCTGTATTTTGTATAGCCCCCTTCCCATAGGATAACATTTCGGAGGGCTTCACAATGACTGTAACAGTCAAGGCAGAGGGGTAAAGGGAGAGGTGACTGTAGGTGTAGGTTTTAAGGTTGGATTCAAAGAAAAATGGGGGTGGGGGGAAGAAGACAAGAGGGGTAATGGAGTGATGGAGTTTTAGAAGTTAGGGGCTGACAAAAGTGCTTAAGATTATATAGGAAGAACTACTTAATGCAGACAATAATTAGATTGTGGAACACGCTGTCCGAAGCGGTGGTTGAATCAGTGTCTATGGATTCAAGAGGAAGCTAGACCGTCACATGGGGGAGAGGGAAACAGAACGGTATGGGAGGGAGTAAGCTATAGTTGGAGAGTCATGTGGAGTCGAAATACCGTCAAGGACTGGTTAGGACGAGTGGGGCTTGTTTCCGTGCTGCACAGTCTTAGTAAGATCTTTATAAATCATGGGATGTTGCAAAGCAAGGATTGTTACACGTCAAATAAAAACAAATTCTTCCACTCAGCTTACAGTCCACCGGTAGATTTTATTACTAGGTACAGCATGCTCCCCAGCACAAAACAATCACTTGCAATGTAGTTCAAACCCTGCTCAACTATGTCCTAACTCCCTAGCAGGACTTGACATTTTTGGAACCCACAGCTTCTATTCCTCTGGCAAACAGATTAATCAGCTGGCAGTGGACCCTACAAAAGAAAAGGAGAAAACCCAATAAGGTGAAGTAATAGAATGTTTACTATAATAATAATAATAATAATCCTTGCATTTGATATAGCGCCTTTCACATTGAATGTACGTTGCAAAGCACTTCACGGACTATACATTAGGGAGAGGGGAATACAGGGGTATAGGAGAGGTTGGGGCTCATGTGGAGTATCATGCTGTGTGCAATTGGCTGCTGCGTTTTAGTCACAATATATACAATCAATTCAGGTTACAGTATATTCCCCTGAAGCGCTTTGAGACGTCTCGAAGACGTGATAAGGCACAATATCAAAAACAAGGATTATTATTATTAATACCGGCTAAATCTGTGCTGTATATCTTTACGTAACTGTAGAGTAACTTAGTATTTTGTAGGTGAATGAGGTGGTCAATCCATATCCGACAAACAGCCATGAAGTGAGTGACCAATTTTTTGAGGGAGATTGTTGGCCAGGACACTGAGACAAATTCCCTTCTCTTTCCAAATAGTGGCACGAGATCGTTTACCATCTATCTGAACAGGCAGACAGGACTATTTTAGACATAATGCTGTTTTATTTCCAATATAATAATAATAGTAATAATAATCCTTGCATTTGATATAGCGCTTTTCACGTCGGGAGGACATCCCAAAGCGCTTCACAGAACACACTGTAAAGTGAATTGACTGTATATTTGTGGGTGAACGCGGCAGCCAATTGCGCACAGCAATGTCCCACAAACAGTCGTAGATTGAAATGACCAATTTATTATTGTTTTTTTTGGAGGAATTATTATTAGGCTCTGTGTGGAGTAAGGAAACTTGCCCAAGGTTTCGCCCTCTGCCTGGAATTGAACTCAGGTCTCTCACTTGCAAAGCGAGTGCTCTAACCACTGAGCTACAGAACTCCACAATATAAGTGGATCTTCGTGCAAATGCTGCAAACTGATCATGCTTAAAAAAGCCTTATGACTTCATGCTTGGCGCTTTCCATTTGACAGGATTTTTTTGTTTACAATTTATCTAATTTAAAATGTCATCTAATAGTTCATCCCTATACATTCTTTGTTCTTGAAGCGTATATTTTAGCTCATGAACAGGAGACGTTTACAAAGTTACTCAGTGATTTATGTATGAACGCTTTTATGTTGATTTGAATTACAGTTTGAGTCACTATTTTGTGCTATGTTTACATGAAGGCAACATGAAAATATTGATGCATCTCTCTGGCTGTTTTCAGTGCTATAACGAGAGAGCCCAATTATGGGTCTGTTCTCAGATCAACGTGGTTGAAAGGGAGTTTCTTCCAGTGTCCTTGCCAGCAATCCCACGGATAAAATAGCTCATTCACTTCATGGCTGTTTGAGGTAACACAGTGGTGCACAAATTGGTTGCCACGTTTGCCTACAAATATACAGTAATTGCACTTTACAGGAAACGGCAAATATGATAAAGGGCACTAAACTCATTAGAAATAATATTAATCAAACACGTTGTAGGTGAATATTGGCACACACAAGACAATTCAGTTAAAGGAGCAACCATAAAACAATTCAGTTGAAGGAGGAAACAGTAAAACAGTTAAAGGAACAATGACCACTTGCGATTCATATACCATACCAACAGGAGGCACACATGTGTTGTCTTCTTTATTCGAGCTATGTAGAGTCTTACTAAGAATACACTTAGTCAGTCATCTCTCTTATTTACCAACACCTCATGTCAGAAAAACTATTTGAATTGGAAATGTATTGCAGGACACAACAAATGTTTTACACCTGTTTTTATTTTTAGCAGTCCAAAGCCTTTCTTATCTGTAAGAAATTTCTTGACTCAGGATGCTCCAGGATTTATTTTGTTTTTTGTTTGTTTTCATGCTTTTAGCACAGTTGAACCATGATTGCATTTTGATATTTCTCTTCCTAGCCTGCAAAGATTTTCATGTCATCACAACATTGTTCAGTTTCAGCGCGAGTGCACAAATCCCACCCAAGAGTAAAATTGACCTTTGCTGTGTAAACAAATACTTTTAGAGCATATGTCACTTGGAAGAATCAATCTTAACATATAAATGTCACACGTTAGGCGACAACAGTATCTTTAACGTAGGCAGAGCATCCATTTGGTATAAAATTTTAAATCTGTGAAGTGTAATAGGGCTGTGATTTAAAGTGTTCAATAATTTGCTCTTGCTTACGTTATTGTCTTTAGCATTTATGATGGCACCCATTGCAGAGCTGGTGAATTTAGAGTTAGAATCCAGAGGGCACCTCTTTAAGATTGTGAGTCGGAAGGCAAAGCAGAGATTTGGAAAGAACTTTTTCTCCCAGATCAAGATTATCAAGGTAGGAATCATTTGCCAGTAGTGCAAGGTATGGGAGACATGAAAGGACCGGGAAGAAAAATACCCTACCGGTTGAAAGAAAAAATAAATGAATTGAGGCTTGTCCTGTAAAGCAATAATAATCCTTGCATTTGATACAGTGCCTCCTCATTGCCTTCAAGATATCTCAAAGCGCTTCACAGAATATACTGTAAAGCGAATTGACTGTATATTTTGTCCAGCAAACAGTAGTGGATTGAGTGACCAAATTATTATTTTTTTAAAAAAGCGATTATTATCCTCGATCTGCAATCGACTAACAACCTACTTTCTGCTGGACAAATAGAGGCATGTGGATTAAGGAAACTTGTCTGATGTTTCGCCCTGCCCGGGAATCGAACGCAGGTCCTCTGGCTTGTGATGCGAGTGCTCTAACCAATGTGAGAGGGACCACTTGTCAGTCGGTTGGATGGAAATAGAGTTCAGGGAAAGAGAAAGACTCACTTGACTTCAATGGCTGCCGGCATAATCAACTCTCCATCACTGTTCCAGCTACTGCTCTTTCTTCCTACGTTTCTACGCCAAATGTTTCTTCTAAAATGAGATTTCCTCTTCTGCTTTTTCAAGGCAATCTCTCTACTACTCATGACGTAGGGCAGGAACTTGAACTCTCGGACTCGGTAAACTTCCACAAATGGAAAGTCAAGCTGCGAGAGAATTACTCAAATTAAAGTACGTTTCACCAATTACTCCAAAACAACTAACTCAATTTCCTCTCTCCATAAATGCTGTCTGACCAGAAGAAGGAAATTGCTGCTTTCAGCCATGACAGGGGATAGAACGAAGAAGATCTCACAGTTTCTTAAAACAATATTGAACAATACTGTGTTGGAATGGGACGACTGTTCTTAACCCTGAATCTGCGGTGCATTCCAATGTATCAGAGATCCTAGATTTCATTTTGGCCAACTTTTGCGTTCTCTAACAGCAATACAATCCAAATTTGCAATTTACATTTATATAGCACCTGACATTGAGAGGACAAACGGGTGCACACTGCAGTGATTTGCACACTGACATCAAAGAAGGGCAAAAGGGCACAGTGTCGCAACCCATTGCCAATAATTTACTGTGACCAGGAATCTTTTCTTAAGAGAATACATGGACGACTTAAATCATCAAAATCCTGTACCTCTGTTGGGCCTCTGACTATTATAATAATACTAATGATAATAATCCTGGCATTTAATATAGCACCTTAGCACATCTTCGAGACGTCTCAAAGAGCATCACAGAATGGAGTCCTGTAGCTCAGTGGTTAGAGCACTCGCCTTGCAAGCGAGACACCTGGGTTCAATTCCAGGCGGGGCGAAACCTTGGGCAAGTTTCCTTACTCCACATAATAATAATCCCTCCAAAAAAAAATAAAAAAAATAATAAATTGGTCATTTTCAATCCACGACTGTTTGTGGGACATTGCTGTTCGCAATTGGCTGCCGCGTTTTGCCCACAAATACACAGTCAATTCACTTTACAGTATATTCTGTGAAGCGCTTTGAGATGTCTAGAAGATGTGAAAAGTGCTATATCAAATCGAAGGATTATTATTATTATTATACTGTGAAGTGAATGTTGTGGGGGAACTGCGGCAGCCTATTGCGCACAGCAGCGTCCCCACAAACAGTAATAAGCATTTGGCTCAGTACATATTTCAGGCCCCATATGTTAACAGTATCATTCCAGTCAAATTAAGTCCTTTGACAAAGTAAAACATGGCATCATTTCATCGCTGGTCTTGCACTTGTACCTGGTCGTTATTCGTGACGTGCCTGAATAGGTGTCGTAGAAAATTAAACTTTGAGCATTTATGGACCAGGATGAGGTCCAAGGCTCCGTTTGCTAAGTGCCCAGAAGGTGAAAGGCCCTGTGAAGAACGGAAAGAACAGCAGCTGATACAAGCTCCGTTGATTGCCAAAAATTTCCCTTCCAGCTCGTTCCAATTTGCTTCATCACCTGCGGAAAAAGAGTCAGTTTGGGCTAAATGTATCTGGTCCGACCAAGTTTGCAATTTATTTAAAGTACCAAAAAGAGAGGACATTAAAAGATCCAGTATAAATTCAGGCAAAGAAGATTTTTTGATCTATTTGATCTCATCCTTCCCAAATATTAAACGTACCGATATTCCATTGCAGCATCAAACTATTTCTTAAATTAATCCACTGTCCTGGTCTCAACCCCACCACTCCCCACTCCTCATGTTGCACTGTTTAGGGAGTTCCCTTTTATAATAATAATAATAATCCTTGCATTTGATATAGCGCTTTTCACGTCGGGAGGACGTCCCAAAGCGCTTCACAGAACACACTGTAAAGTGAATTGACTGTATATTTGTGGGCGAACGCGGACTAGTTGGTGAAAGACTCAATCAGTTTGCAGATAGCTGCTGCTGAATTGGAGAATTGTATACAAATCACCTTCACGGCTCTTCGTGATGACAACGCACTCAGGTTCTAGATCCTTGAGATTACCTTGTGATCCTCAATACCTGCCATTGATCTTCCCCTCATTTCTGTGGGATGGATTTTGTCGCTTTTGGGTAACAGGCTAGTGACAGACTGTCTGAATCACTGAGCCCTGAAGCCCCTCAAGAACTAACACTTGGCTCTTAATTTTCTCCATGGCTTTTCGAACGCAGGTAATTCCTGACGTAAAGCGAGAGCAAAGCCGACAGTCGGTTTCTGATTTTGAGCAGTTTAGAGAAAAGTCGAACTTTAACAGAAATCCCATTCTGCCTCTTCCTTAATAGCGAGCAAAGCAAAATACCATATTTGCAATAACACCTTCTTGCATTTGTACAGTGTTCCTCACGCAAGGTAGCGTCCCCGAGCACTTGACAATGCCAAGCTGGGGGGAGGGGGAGGTGATCGGAGGCACGGTCAAATAGGAAGGTCTTCAGGTGTGACCTGCAGATGGGTGAGGAAGGGGCAAGGCAGAAGGATAGAAGAAGAGTGTTCCAGAGTTTCAGGGGGTAGTGGCTGAAAGCACGGCCACCGATAGTGGAACGGAGGGCATGAGGGACATGCAGGAGGCTGGAGCCAGTCAAGCAGAGGCAATGGATAGTGGGTTGGGGAATAAGCAGGTTGGAGAGGTAGGGAAGTGCCAGGGCATGAAGGGATTTTACTTTAAAGTGCTATCAATGTTCAGAAGTGTTCATGGTTCTGTGAAAGACTCACCGTTATCATCCTCATTTTCATTTTGATTCAGTCTTCTTCCAATTTCACTGCAGATGGTACACCTACACAAAGCAAATTGTGCTCAAAGAAATGCCGAATGGCAGTTTTAAATCTCCCCCAACATTCGTTCAGCAATGAATTCATAACCTAATCCCTTCTGTGCCAACAATATGTTGCATTACACATACATAACATACACGGGGTATATATGCACTGTCATCGTTTCACTACAATAAACCTGGCACTCGGAATAAAGATGTGGAGAAGTTTTGGAAAGTCGGTACACTTAGTTTAACTGATGTTCATTCTGTTTAACGTACTGGGATTTTGCCATTTGAGTGGGTTAAACTTCGGCGCTCTGTGAAACCTACGGAAAGCAACACTATCCGATTGTTCGGGTCATATGCCTCAAGGTTAGGTCTGAATTTGATGTCTTTTAATTACTTGCACAAGACAATCATAATTTAATACTTCTACACCCCAGTTATTCAGTTTAAATAGCGTACAAGCCTGTTAGTGGGAATCCCTGCCTAAAGAGAGCATTTAATTCAAGGTAGAGATTAATTGTCCATACATTTTAATAGCAAACCTAATTCTGCATATTATTCAGAATGGCGATGTACTTAGGCATGTTTCTTGAGCAGCAGAAACTGACCTGTCACAGGATTAGCAGATGAAAATCTTTACAGTGCTTTTATTGATCTTAAGCAGACAAAATGTAATCAAAGGAAAAGTGTATTTAATATAAATGCCAATATATCATTACAAATAAATGTTATAAGTCGATCTGACAATCGACTAACAACAGGGTTCCTACTTACTGTTAGGTGAACAGAGGCTTGACCATGTTGGTGGATAATAAATTCAGTGACATGCATTGTTGCTATAAAATGGGTTTAATACTTCCACATAACAGGAAAGGTTCATTACAATGCATTGGTCTGGGTTGATGAACCAGATCCCAGCATTCCATCTTATTGGGGTCTATCAGAAGGTGTTCAATAACGTTTTAACAAACATTTTTGTTCCATGCTTGTAATGGGATTCACGGCTGCTGTTACACCCTATTGTCTCAAAATGAATGTAATCAAACTCCAGCAACTACAGTTTTACTGACGGCCTGTGAACTAACAACACAAGTACAGAAAAGATCACTGTCTTGACGTAAGATGTGAAGCAATTGAAAATAATAATACTTGTATTTGATATATTGCCTTATCACGTCTTGGAGACATCTCAAAGCGCTTTGCAGAATGTATTGTAAAGTGAATTCATTGTGTATTTTGTGGGCAAAATATGGCAGACAATAGCCCATAGCAATGTCCCACAAACAGTTGTGGATTGAGGGAACAATTTTTTTTGAGAGATTATTAACCTCCTGAAAAGCAATCCGCCAATCGACTAATTTTACTTCTAGGTAAGGTAAGACTGTTATATTTGCTTCTTCTGCATATCTTTGTAAACGTTTCACATATGCATGGCACATGTCCTTAAACGTACAAGGTCATTTAACAATGCAAATCGTAGATTGTCCGGGATATCTTTCATTTGAGACGCAAGTAGCGATTTTGTACTATTGAAATGGTTTACGGTTGACTGATCTTTGGCAGCAAATCATGACTATTAAATACGGCTACACAGCTGCTTCACACAAAACCCTGCTTGCTGCCAACTTATTTCCAGAAAAAGGGACAGTTTGTCTCGTGTCACCTCGTAGCAGCAAAGAAAACCTTATTGCTATAACGCTGGAGCACTCCACACGTCGGAAAGAATTGCACGTCGGCAGAATTTGAATTGCGTTCTTATGATTGTGTTTACCGATGCATCATAAACGTGCCATGATTGAACTGGTTATTTTGTTGTGTCGAGTGCATTTCATTGCTTAAAGCCTGTTCCCATTTGCATTTATAGAGATTTATTTATGGAAATACTGACAAGCTTCCCCATCTGACCCGTGGGAAGCTGACTAAATAAAGGCACATTGGGATTTCCAGAATAATGGCCGGCAGAGCTAAAGGGCTTCGAGGTGTAGCCCTGAGGTTCCTTATTGTTAAATCAAAATCCCTAACCCATTGTGCCTTTCATGCTATTAGAATTTTAACAATGCAGGTTAACAGTATATGAGCTATTTTGCCTTTACCCTGTTAGACAGCGGCACTTGTCTCTTGGGCTCCCCACTCTACCAGTCGCCAGTCGAAACGAGATATTCCCCTCGTAGAGCTGGTGTTTAAGAAATGTTTTTATTCCTAAAATCATTTGCGGGGGGAAAAAAAAACACAATGTCTTTTGCTCAATAACAGATCTGCAATTCATTTTCCCTTTCATTTTTTAATACATCCACACAACCAGGATCTTACAGGATCCAAAACATCTATTAAAGCAGAGGTTACTTGTAACTCACAACAGGCCAATGTTCCTTAAGCTGCTGTAACCATGAGCCAGAATGTTGCATTCAAAATATTACAAACACGTTTCGCTATTTTTATGTGTTTATTTTTTATCAAAGGGCAACATATTTGTCATCAAAAGGTGGGCTGAAATAGATAATGTTACAGTCAAGAATTGAAGTGCCTCTGCATCACTTTGAAAGACAGGAATAATAAATAATGATAATCCTTGCATTTGATATGGCATCTTATCACGTCTTTGAGACGTCTCAAAGCGCTTCACAGAATATACTGTAAAGTGAACTGACTGTATATTTTGTGGGCTAATCACGGCAGCCAATTGCGCACAGCAGATAATAATAATAATCTACGACTGATTGCTGTTCCATAGCGTTTGATGGGAAGTTGTATCATGTGCATATAGGATGAAGCTCAGCTGTAAACCCCTCCACAATAGACGATCAGCCACTTGGCTAAGTACCAGTGCCTATGGAGCCATCACAGTCCATCATGGCAGAATCTAGAGGTGAGGAAGCCAGGAGAAAAGTGGCAAACAAGAATCTCTATGTTGCAGGATTGTGTTTTTATATTTTGCTTGCCAACAAATTTTAGTTGTCGAAATCAGGGGATTTCTTTCCTGCTATCCATGGTATTCCCAACCGACCAACTGGGGGCTACGTTCCAGGGTAGGGAGCTTGCCTTGCCTTGAGATGAAACACTTTGCTGCCATCTAGTGCTCCAGGTGAGAAATACTACTAATAATTATCCTTGCATTTGATTTAGTACCTTATCAGGTCGTTAAGACGCGTCAAAGGGCTTCACAGGATGTACTGTAAAGCGGATTGACTGTGTCTGTTTGTGGGTGAAGCGTGGCATCCACTTGGCCACAGCAATGTCCCATTAACAGCCATGGAGTGAGTGACAAATTTTATTTGGGGGATTGTTGGCCAGGACACCGGGAGAGAGAAACTTCCTTTCTCTTTTCGAATAGTGCCGTGGGATCTTTGACGTCCACCTGAACAGGAAAATGGGACTTTGGTTTAATATCTCATCCTCCGAGTGCGAATTCTGCACTTGTGTGTTTTCCGTTCGACCTTGCTTTTACCGATCTGATTTTTTGCATGTGGGCATTATACGCTTAGAGACACTGAGCTCTACTTTCACCACAGTGAGCTGAAAATCAATGCACTGCTGCATTGCCATCTATCAGGGCAGTGCCTCAAAACAGTTACCCAACTGCGTGCCTCTGCTCCCTGGTCCAGGCAGTGTCTCAAAACAGTTTGTGCAATATAACTGCACCGTAAATCAGGTTTAAAATAAAATGATTTCCATTCGGCTGGTCCAGTGGATTGGGAACTATATGCAAACTCTTTAGCTATGTTGAGGAAAGTTGTTACACATTGCGTCAGCTTCTGCTAATTGTTTAGGTTAAACCAGATGTTTAACATACGTAAACATAGCTTATAGAGGGTGGGGAGCACTGTGTACGCTGCATGTTTGCCATCGATGGTATTAAGTTTCTGCCAATTTTGTAACTGGTGATCTGTAGTGATTTTGTAAAAGGCTTATCATCCAAATAACCCCATTAAATCTGCACAATTGTAGGAGCGCTGGGGCTGTCCAGCCATTAATTTAATTCAACTCACAGCAAGCAGTGTGCATTGATTCTCACAGAGGGTAGTAGAATCTGTTGGAGTGGTATAGTTGAAAAGAAATCTTTTGAAAGAAGCAGAAAGTGCTCAGATCTGTCTTGTGCCTTACCGACACGCTATCATGTCCATTTCCTTGACTTGTCTGGGGAGGGGAGGGAAACGATGGTGTTGATGAATATTAATCACATTGCCCGTTGAGTACATAGCTCAAAAGGCTTTTGTTGCTGTTGGAGGGGGATTGGGAGAATTCTGGTTCAATCCATTTTAATGGAGGTATTATTGCCCCCAAACATCATGTGGGTTGAATTCATGAGTCAACACTGGACGTGTGCTGTTGTTTTGATGTTGAAGCATGGAGAGAAGATCAACAAGTATAACTGTATGACTCCAAGTCTCTCCATTATGAGGAAATGCTTCTTGTGCTGATTTTGTTCTCATTAGAAAGAGAGACAAAAAAAAGGACAGCCTTCAGAAAATAGTGGAAATCTAGGTTTAGATGTTAAACTCGCTTTTTTTAGTTCAGAAATAACCAGCATATTTGCACAGGCGTCAGACTTCCCACAACGTGAATCTTGCATGGATTTTTTTTTCTCCCAAGACTTATATTAAAACAACAAATATCATGAAGATCCCAAGAAATTGTCCAAGTTTCTAAAATTCAGTCTTCATTCAGAAATATTGGTTTCTTTCGGGAAACCAGCTTGCAAACTGAGACTGAGTTTCAGAATTTTCACACGATATAAGAGAGGGGAATCGGAGGAGTGGAGTCTGTGTGCAACAAAAACACTGACACAAACTAGTTGGGTCGAATGGCCCTGTTTATTCTATTTAATTCCATGCAATCTTTAAGATAAAATAGTCTTACTGGCTAAAACCGGGTGACATTTCTGGGTTCCCATGAGTTGAGCAGGAATTGTGTTTTCATTCAATATTTGTAAATGTTACATTTCTTTAGCAGAGCCCCAGCTATCTTAGTCATGAATTCAAAGACTCTCTTGTGCAATACTTTGTTTCCTACCTGATAAATCATACCTTGATGCCCTCAGCCAGCGAGCCCTTTCAGCATCTTTCAGAATGTCCCCAAAGAAACCATATCCAAGCAAAGATGCAGAATATTTTAGCAACGTGTTTCTCTGATGAACTGAACACACATCTAAAGGCTGGCAGTCACCTGATATCAAAAAAACAAGAGTCACGCCTCATTAAGCTCATGACATTTTAACTACTGTATCTCTCCTGCCACAATAATAGGAATAATTGGTGTAATTTATTCTCTGTAAGCACTTTTACATATATAAAATATATTAATAATATAAAGCTTGCATTCGTCATAATGCCTTATCACGTCAAAACATTTCAAGGCACTTTACAGAGCTTCCTGTTGATTGTTGTGACTGTGTTTCTAAGCTAATGTAGGACTCAATCTCCTCACAGCAACATTCTGGTCCAGGAAAAACTCCCTTCTCTTTTCCAAGAGTGTTATGATATTACATTATGATATTACATCACTTATGAGGCAAACTGGAGGAAAATTCCTCCTAAATCTAGGTTTAATCTATCATCGTAGAATTTGGCTGTACTTGTATTTAAATATCATGCCCAATGCACAAAAATTTACAATGATAATCCTTTCATTTGATATAGTGCCTTTCATATCAGGAGGAAGTCTCAAAGCAGTTCACAGTATTTTTCATCATAATGTGTAATGATTGTCTTCAAAATCAGCTGTAGGCAGATCTAGTAACACCCATACGATGACCCCAGTTGAATAGAGTCAGTTATTTTAGGGTAAGTCACATGAAGAACAATATTGGGATTCCAACAGAGACTCAAGTACTGCAATACAGACAAAGTAAAGATAACACGATACTTACCGACAATTATATGCAAGGCTGACAATATAATAATGATAATCCTTGCATTTGATATGGCGCCTTATCACGTCTTCGAGACGTCTCAAAGCGCTTCATGGAATAAATTGTAAAGTGAATTGACTGTATATTTTGTGGGTGAAACATGGCAGCCAATTGCGCACAGCAGCAGTGTCTCAATCAATCATGGATTGAAGTGACCAATTTATTATCTTTTTTTTGAAAGAATTATTACCCCCGGAAAAGCGATTCGCCAATCAACTAACAACCGGGTTCCTACTTACTGCTAGGTAAACAGAGACGTGTAGAATAAGGAATCTTGCCCAACATTTTGTCCTGCCGGGAACTGAACCCAGGTCTATTAATATACATATTAGTACTATAAAGTCAAGATAACGTGATGCTTACCGACAATTATATGCAAGGCTGATGTAACTGGATCACTTACACCAGTTGTTGAATAGCACACAGAGTTAGTGGAACCTTGAAAAGAATGAGGGAAGTTGCAGAAAAAAGCAAATTTTAATACATTTTGCAAAAACGTCCAAAATATTAAATCTGATAGCAAGAGGAAAAATAATAGTGTTTTTTATTGAGCCAATGCTTCTAGCATTTATTTATCGATGAATATCACTGTTACTGAATCATAGCGCCATAGCATATCTAGTTTAGAAACAGCAATGTATTAATAAAAGTCCAGCAGTTGGATAGCTTTTATTGAGCAGACAATTAATGGGATAACTGTTTTGAATTGTAGGAGTTATTGAATGATAAAGTAATTTCATCCATGTTACACACGAGTCTCCTTTTCTCTTGTTTCTTGACGACTCTTGCAACCAGAGTCCTCGTAAAACATCATAAAACAAAGTTCTAATTTTCCTGCTCTTATTGAAATTTCATTGAACCGCGTGTCGAAACCATTAAATTTTGTGTCAAAAAATATAGCCCAAAAAAGGTAAAATCAGCAGAATGATACAGTTAAGATGCATTGACATTTTCAGGCATCAGCAAAAAAAAGATAAGATTTTCGCTTCTATTATTAATCTGTGTCTCTACCCGTGTGGAGATTGTTGATATGTTATATGGTAACACCTCGTTAAATACAATGGATGCGCTCGACTCTTGTCACTTTTGTTGTAGAAATAGGACGTACGATAGGTGTAAAATCAAAGCGGTTGAGACCGTGGCACGTGAGCATTTAAGTCAGCACTGTGTAATGTCCAGTTTGAGTTGACTGTTGTGAAAGAATATATAACATGCCTCGTAATTATATCTATTGGTCACATTCTATGTAGTGTTTATCAGAGGTCATGGAAGAGATCACAGACCCTGGCGTAATAGGATCCTTCAGATGAAATATTTTTTATTCAATGACTGGGAGAAAACACAAGATGACGAAAGGGGTTTCAATTGAAGAAGGTCCTTAAGTCCATTTGATACCATTATTCCTGGAAACCCATCCTATCATCTATCTATAACTAAAGAAATCTTGATTATACTTGAGGGATGTAACAATAAACTGTGGAATTGTTGGTTGCAGCTTCACATAGAGTAAATTATAATTTGCTTTGCTTTTCTTTTCTTCAGCGTTGGACTCAAGGAATTAGACAAGTTCAAAATTATGTTAGTTTTAAAGTTTTAAAAGGTTACAACAGCAACAACTTGTATTTATTTACCAATCCTCACATAGGGCAGCGTCCCAGAGTGCTTGATAGTGGCGGAGCACGATTATGTAACAAAATCAACAATAATAATACTCCTCGCATTTGATTTAGCGCCTTATCATGTCTCTGAGACGTCTCAAAGCGCTTCACAGAATATACTGGAAAGTCAATTAACTGTATATTTTGTAGGTGAAATCCAGCAGCCTATTGCGTTCAGCAGTGTCCCCACAAACAGTAAGTGACCAAATTATAATTTTTTTTAAAGGATTATTACTCTTGCAAATGTTAACAGAATCGACGTTACAATTTCAAGCGTGTTTTGTGCTGCGATGAGTTGTGGGCTGACATCTTACTTTTTCTCTTCGAACCAATTCTTACCCGCTGGTATGATGCCAATCCTCAAGTGGCACTTAGCCAGCCGTGCTTTGGGATTGTTTAGGTCCACTCCTGCCTTAGTTTGTGTTCTCCTGATGACACCTTGCATGAGTTCACTGAACATCCCATCTCCTCCAACACAGACAACGCTGACAACAAAAAAAGCTAAGTTATCAAGTACAGTCAGCACTCAAAGATGAAAAGAGGGCATCATAACTATCAGCAATCCCCTTATAATAGATAATATTATCTCATAATATTAGAATATGCACTATCTATTAGAGCAGAATCGGCTGCTGCATTCACATCCTAGTCACTACCCTTGACAACTCAATTACTTAGACAGCAATGCCAAGCGTAAATGTTAATTGTATTGTATTATTCTATTAATATTAGAATGATATAGAACCTGCAAATCCAAAGCTGGCCATTCAGTCCAGCTAGTCCGTCTCAGTGTTTATACTCCTTTATCCAACCTAAACCCTCCCAGCTCATATTTGATTATAATAATAACAATCCTTGCATTTGATGAAGCACCTTATCACGTAGTTGAGACTTCAATATCTTACAAACAATATCATAGATGTGAAGTCACTCTCCCATCTTGCCATCGTGGGCTAAATACTCAATTGATTTGGTCTGCTACAGTTGCGTGGTGCAGAGTGTGGTAAAGTGCTCTGGGACCCTACCTTGTGTGTGGGCTCTATATAAATGCAAGTTGTTGTTGTTGAGTGTGTATTTATAAAACGCTTCACTCCTGCGGGTCACGAGGCACTTTTTATTGCTTTCTGGATATGGGGGATGACATTCAGACTGTAGGATATGCTAATAATATAGGCAGTGTTATAACAGGTGCAGGAATCGCTTTGAACTCTTCAATTAAATCCAGACCGAGTAGATGTAGTCATGAAAGATAAGGACTCGGGGTGCGTTCAGTAATTTGATACCTGCTGAAAATAAGCCCGGAGCTCTACTTGGTTTCCTTTTTTCTTAGTAGTGCTGCTCGGAATTTCCTTACCTAAACAATGAATTAATCTAAGCACTAAAATCTCATTTTTAAAACAACAACAGCTGTGCACTCAATGAGTGTCTTGGTTGGGTCTCTCCCATTTATATCTCTCCTGCTCTAGAATGTGATAAGCCACAGTTTCATACACCTTGACTTAGGTAACCTGAGAAACAGTGAACGGCACAAGACAGAACACAGGTACTGAGATGTCCGTGGTTTAATCTCTCACTTGGCGGGCAGCTACCAGTTAAATCCCCTTCTGTAAACTTCCCAGCGAGTCTAGAATTGCCATGGATATGTAAGTCACAGAGAGTGCCAGGAAAATTGGCACACCCATCCACAGTGATGTTCCAGGTATCACACCACCATCTGTACATTGTTAGGAAAGAATCTTTCCCCTGGCGAGGTAAACCTGTGCATTCTCCGCAGGTGCACAGATGGGCATTGGAGGAACAGTCAACAGCATCAAGGATGCCAGGTAGTGCAACCATGGTAGAGGAAAGTTTCTGTTGTTCTTTCATTAGGATGTGTCTACTTGTGGAAGGGCTTTTGGCACTGCAAGGTGATTGAATCTACAGTTATTCTGTCTGGGAGATGAAAGTTGCTGTTTTAGCAGGTGAACACAGTGATTACTTTCCCTGGTTCCAGCAGCACACACTTCATACGGGAGCATGTCATTGTAAATCAATCACGCCTGTACCATAAAACAGTAACAAATACATCAGAAACTCTTTCCAGCATCTGAAATTATAATTCACTGTGAAGAGAATCTAAAAATCTGGCGTGCCGAATTTTGAAAGGATTCTGAGTAAATTCACAGTGTTTGAGAAAGAGAGTAAGTATGGACAGCTATACAATAAATCACAGAATATTCTCTACCTTCACAAGTTAAACTAGAGAGACCGTTTTAATAATGATCCTTGCATTTGATACAGCATGTTTTCACATTGAAAATTCTCAAGGTACTTAAACAGTTTTCTTTAAGTGTATTGACTGTATCTGTATATGTATATATATATATATATGGGAATGCAGCAGCCAATTCTATACACAGTAATGTACTACACTCAAGAATGAAGTAAATGGTATTATTTTTATAATAATAATCCTTGCATGTGATATAGCACCTTATCACGTCTTTGAGACGTTCCAGAGAAACTTTCCCCCGATCCACCTTTCCAATCTACCTGAACATCTTGGAAACTTTGTTGAGTCATTATAACATTTCCTCATAACTTAGATTCAATAGATTTCAATACTGCGGTCTCAAATGGGGTGATTTGTAACAGCTTTGCTTAATTCCTTAAACTTTAAATTGCAATTCCAGTTTCTATAACTTTTAGTGCGGAACCATTTATTATTCTCTAGCAATTATAATAATAATCCTTGCAATTTGATATAGCACCTTATCACGTCATTGAGAAGTCTCAAATCTATTCAATTCCATTGAAAGACTCACCCATCATATTTGTGGAAGTCTGTTGCCAAGATATAGTCCCTGGCATGATTTGCATAATCTGTTACTTTAAAGTTGAGAAATAATCATAAAAAGAAGAAATATTCACGTTAGTTATCTTGAAGATTCAATATGGTTATCTAATAACTACTTTGACGTCAAAAAGTGGCTATCATCATTATTATTCATTCCTTCCATCTCCACTATTGACTGGTCAATTGCCTATGCCATTTCTTTGGTTTTATCACTACAATTACAATTTCTTCCGCGGAAAATAACCTATTCAATCCTAAGCACATAGCTATACTTTTTTTTAAATAAAGAGCACAGTATTAACTTCCTCTGCTGAGAATCTTGATTTAAAAATGCATTATTTTATGGGGCAACACGTTCCTTCTAATCTATTTGACTTTTCTTATGCTTATTTTGTGCCCTCTAAGTTTATACTCTTAGCTCTAGTTAAATAACATGCGTCTGCATTTTCTACGTTCCTCAGTATTTTAACAATCTGGATTTATTTGGTGAGAGAGCAGATATAATGGACATCAATAAGAGGTAAATTACCATAAGTTACATAGGAAATTGAAAATGCCCAAAGTAGTAAAAAAGGTGCAAGAATAAGGGCTCGGACAATAAAGATATGGGATAAATGCAACGTTTATTATCATATCAACTCTGTTCTGGATTGTTGTATTTCCATCCCTAAATTGACACCTTGTATGGTAACAGTGGTACACAAATACATATCCAACATTAATATTAATTGTCATATAGGTCTTGTTTTTATACTTGCAAACATCTAATAACCCAGCATTGGACAATAAGAATAAAGCTAAACTTCAAAAGATGAGACACAGTGAAGTTGCAATCTGAGATTGACAAAATAATAATCTGCTGTGAAAAATCCATACACTATAAAAATGCCATGAAGATTGTCAGATGTAAACCATAATACCATAATAATAATAATCCTTGCATTTGATTATAGCGCCTTACCAAGTCGTTGAGACGCCTCAAAGCGCTTCACAGAATAGATTGCAAAGTGGATTGACTTTGTATTCTGTGGGTGAATCTCTCACATTTAGCAAAGGATAATCATTTTAAAAGAAAAAGTCCAGCTTCTTACCGATGACAACGGTGGTGATCTTTGCCAGTTTGAACAGAGGAGCCACTTTAAACTGATAGATGTCTACGGCCTGTTGAATGGCAGCAACGGGATTGATGAACACAAGGAGACTGTGTGGGCGAACAGCTTTGAACAAGACGGAGGGTAAAATCAAATAAAGTTTCACTAATAATCCTTCGTTAAGTACAAACCCAGAGACACGATCTTAAAATTGCAACAACTTTCATTTATGCAGCGGCCTTCATATGTGGTAGCGTTGTGGAGCACTCGGAAATTAGAGCTATGCCCGATTGTATCCCATAATATTTTCCCCCATTGCCCTATTATGATTGCCAAACAAATGCGCAAACAAGAGCAGGGACTCGACAGCATAGATAAGCCCAATGGTATGAGAAATATAAAGAAATTTTTAGTTGGTGAATATTGGGACATACACCACTGAATACCTTTTTTTTGCTTCTGTTGCTATTTTCAATTTTGTACGTGTGCTAACCTACTGATAATTCATTCCCATTACATCCGCTCTCTCGCAAAATAAATCCGGATTGTTAAAATGCATGTTGAGTCCATAAGTCCATTAAGAAATTACACTTTGTTGACTTACCTTGAACCGCTTTGATTTTTTTGTGGGGGAGGGGACATTTTGTACAAAGAGATAGACAATATCTCCACTTACAGTTCGTACAGATGATTATTTTCTTATCCTAAGTCGGACCCAAGGAAGGAGGTTTATGTTTCTCAGAATACCAATGTGTTAATGCATGGTAACCGTATCACGCTATAAACACTGACCTTTGTAATGGAGTTGATCTTCAATAGTTTGCATCCACTGGTGATGAAGCGCTCTCACAGAAGTGGAAAATGTTACAGTGCTGCATAGCCACTGCTTTTGCTTGTTCCTCTGCACATAGTAAACTGCTCACAAAACACACCATGGTTGTATCACACCTCTAACAAAATTCGACAACTTACTCGAGTTGAAACCAAATATGTCCAGTAGAGTTGTGCTTACAAATGGAACAAAGTCTGTTCTCCTCCTTATTTATACTCAGTGGTCAGATTAATAATAAAAATAATAACCTTTGCATTTCATATTGCGCTTTATTACGTCACTGAAGACGTCTCAAAGGGCTTCACAGATAATATTGTCAAGTGGATTGACCGTGTACTTTGTGGGAGCCAATTGCGCACAGCAGTGTCCCACAAACAGTTGTGGATTGAGTGACCATATTTCTAGAGGGATTATTACCCACTGGAAAGCGATCTGCCAATTGACTGACAACCAGGTTCATCCAGTAGAATAATGAATTAGAGAATGTGTTTGTTTTTGTATTTAATTTTTTAAAATATATATTTTAATATCTGTGACATGCATGGTGGGGCGTATTGCATTAAAGGCCCAGCAATTTGCACCGTGGAGTGAACCCGTGTCCAACCCAATTGACGTGGGTTGACCTCTAATGATCCTTCAGGTCTAAGCCGTGTCTTTGTGAGGAACAAATATTTCCCTGAAGGACAAAAGGAGAACTGAGAGGGAAAGATACTCAGTGCTGTTCTTGACTGCCTCCTTGTGGCAAATACAAGAGCTGAAATGTCAGCGAGCTCAGTTTATCTTCCATTCCTTGCCACCCTCACGCTGTCCACAACCCACAATCAGACCCAAGAAAGGAGAAGGTGAGACAAATGGCTTGATATTAACATTGTCACGTTATTCTATTCAAGGCGGGGATAATGCCTTACATAATGTAAGGAAAATCAGTTTACAATATTAATGAGTTAAGATAAAATGTCTTTCTTTTAATGTTGTTGCTAAAATGGAGAATTTAGGGGTTTGCTGCGTGGAAACAGGTTAGCAACAGCACTCCATACACCCCCGGGATTAATTGAACACTATAGTTTCATCTCCTTTGAGCAATGGCTTGCTCAAAAAAAANTTCTTTAATTGATTATTCTATTGAATGAAAGTAAAACAAAACTGATGTTTTACAGTAATTTGGGTATCTTTCCAAGGCAGTAGAACACTTTGTTACTGATCCTCTCTCACTCACCCACTCAGCACCTACCCAGTCTTCGAAGAATTGCCATAAAATCCACAGTATAATTCATACCTTTGTTATACCTTCTGAATGTGACCGTATAATCTTAATTTTACAGCCTTACTTTAATATACGTACAGAACCGAGAAATATCTAGGCACCATCCTTAATTGAATATTAGGTAAGTGAGTATCTCAGTGTATAGGAATTTTGAAAATTGAAAATATGTATTATTTCTACACCACCCCATTAATTCTTGGAAATTGGCTATGCTTACAGACCAGGTTATGCGTAGACCTTTTCAGCATAACATTCTGCACACATTAATTTGACATGGGCAAGGAACAGAGTAGATCCAAGGTAGTATTGGGGGTTGAAAGCATTCAAGCGTCAAGAAGTATTGTATTAAGATGGAGTGTTGTGGCTCATCTGAGATTTCCTAACTGAGTGTGTGCTGTTATTTGACTTTGGGAACTGTTTGCTTAATGGAAATCAAGGACTCGAGAGGGGAAATCAGTCAGAGAATGGTCAATGGGCTGCTCAACAGCTACATCAAAGGCCTTCACTTCCCATCTCTCTGTTTAGCCGTGGCTGACGTGTGCAATAGGGAAATCAGTCAGTGGCTGATCGTGGATTACAGGGAAAGGATCATTCCCTTAAAGAAAAGAACTTCTTCAATTGCAACATTGCAGGAGAGGAAATCTTTCTTCTGATTTATTGTGATTTCAGGTAAAAGTGAATGTCTTTTTTAGTGGGAAACAAAAGTGGAGAGTCAGTCCTGAAGTCCAATTGGAGTCAAGTCGTTAAAAGAATACTTTAGGAGGTTTATCACATCGATTTACCGACCGCCTTTTAAAAGTAACTTTACAACTGCATCAGTCCATTCCGCTCACCTGTGAAACTGTAGTAGCGCAACTGTGATAACAAATCACCTGGGGTGATTCCCGGTGGTCTCACGTTCGTTGATTCTGAATTTTCTTCGTTGACAGTTATGACATCAGAGATTAGTACAAACTGAGGAGGTGCTGGAACTCAAGGAGAAATTGAACAAAGTGAAGCATCCACTTTTGAGGTGCTCCAAAACCACCCGTCTCATGTATGTGATAAGCATTTTACTTTTCAATCTTTGGTAAATCACCAACAATGAGTCAAATACATGACAAAAGATCTACAGTGGCAACACAAAAGGAACTCCAAAATGCAAATTATGATTTATTCTATCTGCCTATTCGCACGAAATCGATTGTTATATTTGCATTCCCAGAAATTGAATGCATCAGTGTCCCCAAGCAAACCACAATCCATCAGGAGTGAAAGATCGTTTCAAACTTGCTGCAGGTTGGGAATGGGGTTAAATGGAATTCAATTTGTCCCCCCTTTCCTTACATTCTCCTCTCCCTGATTCTTGCATGGGTTCAGTCCTACAATTGCCAGGAGCTCAATGGTGCCTCACCTATTCTTCATAGGTAGGCGATTCAACTGGGATAGGCAAGGCAGTCAATACTGATCTTGCCCTTGCACGATATCTGTACAAACACACACATTTATTTATATATATATATATACATACACATACAGAGGTCACTGGTTAACAATCAGGAATGGGAACCATGGTATCCATAACTCAGGGTAATTAACTGAAGCCAATTGCAATACCCCACTTTTACCCCTGGCTGAGATCAGCTGAGATAGCGATCAACAGAGATTGAACTGTGATCCACCTATCTATATAGTTCTCAGTCAATTTGGCCACAGGAGCAGGAGGGAGGACGAGTTATATATTCTTGTGACTCATGTTATAACTTCCTGGTGCATACAAAGTATTTCCACGAGTTTAAAATTCTCCGTTGCTCTCATACTTTAGCCTTTTGCTTTCACTTCAGGTCAAAGAAATTCACTGTTGAGACTGGTTTCCAAAGGATTAACTAGTCATACCAGGAGCCATGGGTCTGCTATGTAAAATGTCCTGTCAGCAAATGTTTCCTCAGTTCTCTTTGTGGATGCTGAAATGCTGTTTCAGCACGTTCAAAGAACAACACAAAGCATAAATGAGCTTGGGGCAGCAAAAAAAAAACTGCTATAGGTCATCTAATCAAACAAAAGGATTTCAATAAAACGAATCTACCTTTTCTGTGACCTCTGTGAAATTATTTTTTCCCCCCTATCCAGTTATGAAAGATTCATGGTGAGTCTCAGAACAAAATTATTCTTGACAAAAAGTCACGACTGCCTTATTTGCCGACTGATAGTGCTCGCCTATCCAACTGTGCATGAATACTCATATGCCTCATGATAATAAATGAATCTGCGCATTTTGTACGGCGTTTGTCATGTCAGGGGAACATCTCAAAGCGTTTCATAGGATTTACTGTAAACTGTAGCGGTTTGTATTTTAAAGGCAAATACGACAGCGAATTTGCGCACAGCGATGTCGCACAAACAGCGAATAATAATAATAATCCTTGCATTTGATATAGCGCTTTTCACGTCGGGAGGACGTCCCAAAGCGCTTCACAGAATATACTGTAAAGTGAATTGACTGTATATTTGTGGGCGAACTAAGTGACAAATTTTATATAATAATAATAATCCTTGCATTTGATATAGCGCTTTTCACGTCAGGAGGACATCCCAAAGCGCTTCACAGAACATCTAGAGGACTGTTGATTAGGACACTGAGAGAAACTCCCTGATCTTGTTCCTTTTTGAATAGTGTTGTGGGATCTTCAACGTACACCCGAACAAGCAAACGGGACCTTGGTTTCATGTCCCATCCATACACCCCCCAACACCCCTCCATCCCCACCCCACCCCCCCAAGCAGTGCAATGGAGCGTCACTCTTGATGTGGGCCTTGTAGGTGTCCACAAATATCGGTCTTTTCTCACTAAGAGATGTGAAACCCAAGTTGACAAGCCACCTGATTCTCCAATCCTCTCTGTGGTCAAGAGGCACGGTCTCTTTCCTTTTCCACCACTTCTCATTATGGTAACTTTAAGATTAGGAAGGAAGTGAGAATGGGCGGAGGGGGATAGGGGGAGGGGGCAAAGACTGGTGCAAAGCCTCAGGTTACCATTCAGCGGCACAGCATGGTGGAGCTCTAATGCTGTTCCACCATCCAGCCCCATTCAGTCTTTTAACCTCGATAACAATAATCCAGGCAAGTCCTGTCATGACCCTGAAGTCTGTAAATGTGGGATTTTTGGGTCCGTTTGGTTTTCTGGTTGAAACTGATGCTGCGTTTTCAATGCAAACCCACTTCCTGAAGTTGTTCTGCAATATTGTTTGTGGCCCCCCCGCACCCCCTCGATGCCATAGAAACCGTTCTGACATAACAGTTTCTGCACACACAACAGTTTCAAGCTGCGCCTATCTCTCACTGCCTTCTTCAAGGGTTGACATAGCTGCTCAGCACACCAATGGATAGGAAGCATCTCCCACAGTTACCTAGGAGTTATTTTGCTATTGGCAGTGTGTCAAACGCATGGGTTAAAATTACTCCTTTGAACGTAAATGGCACTGTACCAGAAACAACTGGTTCACTGTGATGTTGGGACTTTTGGTGGTAAAGGGGTCAAGGTACATTTCAATTCCTTTTTATATGCACTGGTCTTCAAATTAGATTGTTAATAATAATAATAATAGTAATAATAACACTAGCTTTGAGCTCATAGTCCAGGCAAACACTCCAGCATAGCGCTGGGGAATGTTGCATTGTAGGAGGTGCTATCCTTCTGATGAGATGTTAAACCGATGACCAATCTACCTGTTCAGGTGGATGTTAAAGATCCCAAGGCACTATTCCAAAAGAGAAGGGAATTTCTCCTATCTTCCTGGACAATTGATCATTCATTTCATTGTTGGACATTACTGTTCGCTAATTGGCTGCTGTGTTTGCCT